ACCCTACCACACCCCAGCCCCCATTTCTAGTGCACTGTTCTCCAGGGAGCAGCCAGACGAGAAGGTGGAACCTCTTCACTTGGCCGCCCACAGGGACTTTCCTCTCCCCCGAGGTCTTAGGAAACGGGCGCCTACACCCGTAATTAGGCGCGCGCAGGGGACTAATAGCGGGACTTGCATAAGATTTACAAGCCCTTGCGCTGGGTTTCCCATGTGCAGCCGGTCGGTCACCCCGGGGCCTCTTCTGCCGGTGCCGCCCTGCCCAGAGCTCGGGCGCCGAACCACGTGCGAGCCTCGGCGGTCTGGGCACCTCGCTCCACCGCGCAGGCGCGGGGGGACCAGAGTGGCTGCGTGTGCACGTGCCTGTGTGCGTGCGTGCGTGCGTAGTGCGTGCGTGCGTGCCGAGGCTCCGCCCATGTGCATCCTCGGGTCCGGTCCATCCCTGACTGACGTTCCTCTCGCCTGCCGCTGCGCACAGTGTGGGCAGCGGCCTCCGCGGGAGAATGTCCTCCTTCCATGTGGGCCACTTGGCTGGACGCCTGGCACGGCAGCCCCCATCTCGCAGAGGAGGCTTGTGTGTTGCTACGATGCTGCTAGACGGGTTTTAACGGCGCTTTTAGCCGGAGACGGGCTAAGAAGAAAGGCCTGGAGACCTACTGCCCCAAGTCAGCCCGTGGACACTGGCACAGAGCCGTGCTGTGCTGTTGTGCACGGGTCCCCGTGAGGTTCCGGACCGGGCGGCAGCCCGCGCCTGGAACACCTCACAGTGGCGCTGGGGGTCTGGTGATCGTCGTCGTGGCACGTCCTCGAGTGGCTTTGTCTCACAGAGACGTCAAATGTCAGGGCGGGACTAGGGTTTCTGAGGCGGAGGGTCTTTCTCCCTGGGCACCCCTGGGGAGGCTCAGACAGCGCCTTTCTGTTCTGGCCACGTGCTTAGCCACCGAGCATCTTCTGGCTGTAGTGGCCGCTCCAGCTTTACAGATCAGAGGGGTGAAGTCACACAGCAAGAAAGGGGCTCAGCGGAGGTTGGAACCCAGAGTGCTCTGATCCTAAACCCCCAAATTGAACACTGGGGTGGCAATAAAGCAAGACCAGAATTAAATCCAGGTCAGTCTAATCCCAACCCCAGCTTCTCCCCAGGCACCCCATAGCCCGCTCTGCCTTGATGGGAGCCCGATGGCATTCAGGAAAGCACTGCTCTGGGAGGGAGGCGCATTCCGTAGAAGCCACAGCAGTCGTGTTGTCATGAACTGACCTGGAGACCTTGGGCTTCAGGCACGATTTTCTGTTGATGTCATGCTTTACAGATACGCAGAGTTCAGGGGGAAAATCTCCCAAGAACCCAGCAGGGGAGCCGGGGAGCGGCAGGAAAGGGAAGAGGGGGTGGAGAGTGACGGCAGGCAAGAATGCAGTGCATTATGTAACTTCAGGGGTATGCTGTTTCCTTTAGCGTCAGAGGCTGGTGTGGGCAGGTTCTTCACAGCACTTACTGCGCGCCTACTGTGCGCCAGGCCTTCACTAGGTGACAGAGCCCAGACAGCCCCTACTCTCGTGGAAGTTACCATCTGCTGGGAGGAGAAAGGGAGGGAGAGCCACCAAGAAGGTGCCCATAAACAGGTGGACGAGATCATCGAGGGGGGTGGGTAATACGTATGACAAAGAAGATTGGACAAAGCCATGTCTGGAGGATAGTCGGGGCAGGGGGGGGACCCTTACACTAGAGAGGATGACCTGTAAGGCTGAGTGGGAGAAGGGACCTGGAGGAGTGGAAGGAGCTGGTCCTGTGTGGAAGGATGGCTTTCCAACTAGCACCTGGCCCCCTGCCCCCTGAACCCACCGTTGGTGCCACCTCACCCCTGTTCCTTTTCCTCCCGCAGGTTTGACATCTACAGGAAGGTGCCCAAGGACCTCACGCAGCCAACATACACCGGGGCCATTAGTGAGTAGCTGCCCTGTCTTGGTCACTGTCCCACCCACCCCTTCCCACCGCACACCGTGCCTGCTCCCTACTCCCAGGGGGAACGTCAGGCCTGCAGGAAAGATGGGGGTGCAGTGGAGCTCCTGTGTAGTTAAGGTCTCTTGTGCATCTTTCTAAGACCTTCATCTCTTCTTACTGAACCTCGATCGTCACCATAACCGGCAAGCAATAGGCACCTGCTGTCTAGAAGGAGATGTAAGACATGGTTCCCAGGACGGAAAGTGGGGCTCAGGGTGGGAGGTATATTAAAGCCCTAACTCGGTCCCTGTGAATACCTTTGTTTGGAAAGAGGGTCCTTGAAGATGTTTTCAGTGACTGTGATATCAAATTGGAGGAGGGTGGATACTCAAAAACAACAAACAATTCACGGCCATCTAGTAATTTCCTGTTCATAGCAACCCCATAGGGCAGGATAGAACTGACTCTGAGTTTCTGAGAGTGTAACTCTTTACGGGAGTAGAAAGCCTCCTGTCTCCCATGGAGCAGCTGGTGGTTTCAAACTGATGACCTTGTGGTTAGCAGCCCCACGTGTAACCACGATGCCACCAGGACTCCTAGGGTGAGTGCTACTCTCACACAATCGGTGACCTTAGGAGAGAAGAAACAGCATGAAGACAGCCACGTGAAGAGGGAGACAGTGGAATGATCTAGCCACCTGCCAAGGAATGCCAAGAATGGCCAAAAACCATCAGACGCTAGAAGGAGTCATGGAGGCTCCCCCCCCCCACCTGCAGCAGCCACGGCCCAACCAACGCCTTGGTTTGAGGCCTCTGACCTCCAGAACTGTGAGGCCGTGCGCTCCGGCTGTGGTACGCCACCCAGCCGTGGCGTGTTGTCAAGACAGCCCTCGAAAATGAACACAAGGATGGAATGTACTTTGACCTCGTCAAACCTCTTGAACTCCTAGAATCCCTTTAAATGTGTTTTTGTATCTCTTCTAAATATATTTTGAATCTGTTTAGATATATCTTCATCTGTTAAAAATAATGATGATGATCTCACCCAGGTTTGGGTTTCTAAATACCATTCTCCAGTCAAAGGAGTCAGGGCTCCAGAGAGAAATCACTGGTCCGAGGACCGAGCCAGGAATGAGACAGAGGGAGCCAGGAACACCTTGTGCCAGAAAACAAGGGAGTGCTCAAAGAGAAGCAAAGAAAGGGGAAAGCGTGGTTGTGTGTCAGCAAACTGTAGAGCGGGCCCGAGCTAGAGCCCAGCAGCCAGAGCTGGAACAATTTAGTGGAATAAATATTATTGCTTTTCAACCCGAAGAATTTTTTTTTTGAATGCTCAAGTCCGTATGCACTAAAACAGAGGAGAGGGGGCAGATCTTCCACCCAGAAGAGTTCCAAGTGGCAGATGTAAACACTTCCCCCTTGAGCCTCATTCCTCTCTCCTTGAGCGTGAGTTGGGCGTCATGACTCATCGGAAAGGAAAGGAGAGTGAGTAACTTTGCTGGGGACAAACCTGGGGAGAAGGTCAGCCTGTCCCCTAGTCAGTCAGAGAGCAGTCACGTGCCCCTGATGTGATGGTGCAGGTACCCTCCCCCTTTGTAGTAGTGTCCCAGAGACTCAGACCCCAGCCCATCCAGGAGAAAACACCAGGCAAGCCCAGGTGAGGGATCTGCTTACTGGGAACTGGCCAGCACGCTTCAGAAGTGGCATGGTCTCAGAAAACAAAGACAGATGGGGGAGGTGGGGAGGCTGCCACAGCCCAGGGGCAGCTAAGGAATCTGGAATCAAAGTAAGGCTATACGTGAGAAGACTGGTGACATCCGAATAAAGGCTGTAGCTTCGCTTTACCAGCATTGTCCCAATGTTTATGTCTCGGTTTTGACAAATACTCCACGGTCACATGTGGAGTCCCTGGGTGGTACCAACAATAAACAAATGGCCTGGACCATTTGTGTTCACTCAGGAGTGTCTTAAAAGATAGGCCTGGCCACCTACTACCGAAAATCCAGCCATGGAAAACCTGGTGGAACCCAATTTGCCTCTGACAGAATCGGGGGACTGTCAAGAGTGGGAGTCCACTCAACAACACCTTTCGTGGGTTAGATGAGAAGCTGTTGGCATTCTGTTTGCACCTGTTATCGCTCATGATAAAATAATGTACTGACAAACTAGACCACCCTGCAAGCAGGGAGGCTCCGGCCTCATTTTCCAGGTGAGAAAACGGGCTCTGAGAAGGAAGGTGACTTATCTGAAGTGACACAGCTCACAGAAGGTGAAGTGGGCATTAGGACTCAGTGGGCATCCCCTGCTTATATAGAGCAGGGTTCAGGACTACCTCCCAGGGCAGACCACTCACAGCTTGGACGATGGCCTCAGGGGTCTTCCAGGCTGGTCCCTCAGTGCCCCCTTCAGCTCAGCTTGCTGAAGCCAAGCGTGCCTTCTTGAGCCCCTCCTGGTTGTGCACAGCCCTGGGGAATGGAACAGTTCACCCAAGTAGCAGGGAGCATTTCGTATAGGTTTTCAGATTAGCAGCTGTGTGGCCTTGGGCAAAGCACTCCACCCCTCTGAGCCTCAGTCTCCTAATCCTAACCTGGGGAGCAAAGGAGATCATGCCTGTGGAGTGCAAAGTTCTCTCCTTACCACCCTCCTGACACCTGTGGCCCGAGAGTCTGAGAAGCCATGCCTCTTTGTGCTTTGGTTCCGAGAAAGGGTATTACGGAGACACATGAGAAAAAGGGCTTGTTGACCTGGGTTCCATGGTCAGTGGAGGCTTGCCTGTTCTTGGGACGCTGAACAGGTTTCGGGCATAGCTTTCAGATGGAGATGATGAGGAAGAAAGGTCTGGTGATTTACTTCTGAAAATCAGCCCATGGAAACTGTTCGGATCACAACAGTCTAATCCCCTTGTCCCTTTGAATATGGGGCTGCCCCTAGGGGGGAGCCCACTTGATGGCAGCCCACAGCAATGTGTGTTTGCCCATATTATGAACCCCACCCAGAAAGCCCAAGTGAGGCTCCTCCCTGCTTTCCTGCCACCAGCTAACATGAGCTCACCACTTCCTCTTCTCCGCCAGCAGCCTCTCCCTTGTCAGGGATGCTGTAGCAAGCAGGTGTGCATCCTGCTCGGATCTTTTTAATCCAGGTTTTCCTGTGATACACAAAGGGGCAGTCTTCCTCTCCCCCTTCTCAGTTAATACCCCCTGGGCCCTTTCCAGACCAGCACATGAATATCTCCGCCTTCCCTGTTTCAAAAATGTATTTGATTGTGGCAAAAATTTTACTATGATTAAACGTTTATTGTGGCTTTAAAAAAAGAGAGAGCGGGAGCACCATGATAGCACAGTTGGTTTTAAGCATTGCACTGCTAACCACAGGGTGGGTGGTTCAAACCCAGCAAGCGCTCCTCAGGAGAACAATGAGGCTGTCTGTTCTCATAAAGATGTAAAGCCTCTGAAGCCCTGGATGGGTTGCCAGGCGTCAGAACAGACTTATGGCAGTGTGTTGGCGGTGGTGACAAGTATTTCTGACAAAACTTTGGCCATTTCAATTATTTTTAAGCGTTTATTTTAGAGACATTGGCTCTGTTCCTCAGGAACCCACAAGAACAGTTCTACTGTGCCCCATAGGGTTACTCTGAGTCAGAGTTGACTCAATGGCAATGGGGGATACAGTTATCTAAGGAGCCCTGGGGGTGTAGTAGGGTTAAGCATTGGGCTGCTTAACCAAAAGGCCAACACTTCAAACCCAGCAGCCAGCCTGTCTGCTTCCATCAAGTCTCAGAAGCCTTATATTTTTGCTGTGGCTCAGAGCCAACTCAAGAATAGTGGGTTTGCAATTAGTTCTACAAGGTGACTTTCCTGGAAGAGTGCAACAGATTCAAGAGGGGTGTGTGCGTGTGCGTGCACACGCTGGTAAGGGTTATGAGTTGGGCTATGATCCTCATGGTCAGCAGTTCAAAACCACCAGCAGCTCCTGGGGTG